TTATGATTTTAAAAGTTGTATGATATCACAGAAAAATGATCCACCTACTTATGATTTATCGGAAAATCGAATCGGCGGAAAAGGGAAAGGTATACTTTGGCGAAAACCTCCTATGCCCGCTTTCCTTTTAATAATATTATACAGTTTTAAATTTATTTTAACGATGCTTGAATTTAATTCTAATTTTATGAACCTGCAGCGTAGCAATTAGAGCGAATAATATGTAACCAACTCAATTTCCAAGTGTACATGGTGATACTTATGGTATTAGTTAGTGGAAATTCAACATTTTAATAAAAACTTGAAAGTGAGTATGTGCATTTTGTAAATAATACGAAAAGTAGATATAGTGTCACGGTTTCACTAAAAATATACAAATTGTGTACAATGGTTGTGTACCATTGATCCCCCCTCGTGACCTTTATTTGTATACATAATATTATTGCAGGGGGCATCACGCTGCGATTTGTCGAATAATGAATATTCTCCCCCCCTCAAAATTCATATGGTGAAAACCACAAACAGGTCGGTCGTTTCTCGATGGTTTTTCATTACCAATTATTCATCAAAATAATTGTACAAAAATCAGAAAATTAACAATAATTCATTTTAATAATCCATTTTCTACTGGTACAAATAGTATTGACTTACCGTGTAAAATACATATCATAATAAATAATATTCAGTAAATTAATTGAGATATTCCATAATTAAATTATTAAGTCTCGACTTCTCTCTTAAGATGACTTTTTTGTTTACGACAAATTTAAACTTCCGTTTTATATAATCAACCAAATGCAACGCAATAATTTGAGTTAATTAATTACAGTAATAACACGACGAAAGTTTTATAAGTCATAAACATCGAATTCAAAAAGAACATTCAAATCAAACGATTAAATACAAAAAATATATAATACGAAAATTAAGATGATATTCTAAATAAAATTTGCTATAAAAAATAATGAGAAAATACATAAACTTTAATCAAATCTGCATTTTTTATACGTCCAACTATACCCACCTAGTACCTACATAATGTTATAATAATATATAATAATAAAGTATATTTTTCACGATTTATCATTTGACATAGTTATCTTTTTCATAAGAATCGCTCTCCGTAATAGTATTATAATAATGAAAACTTATTTAAACAAATTTACAGGAAATACATTTTTTTTTTTCATTTTTAGTAACATAAAAAATACCTTTATTGCCCCTTATACAGTGTGTAGGACACAGCTCCGTTTTGATTAACATTTTGCTTTTATTATTAAATAAAAAAATTATTTAATTATTAAAAAATTGTAATTATAAATATGAAAAATTAAATATCGTATATTATACAACAGAACATTTTTTCTCGTATTCGACTAGACAATAATAATTATAAACTTTTATTTAATTTCAATGTTGTGAAAAATGATATGATTTCGCGTGTATTACACGTAAGTTCAACCAAAATTCGTCTTTTTCCGTCAATGGTCGTCTGAATCACATATAATATGGTTTATATCAGAGGTATTCAATTTTTTTCATTCTAAGGCTCCTTTGTCTCTTCACATAATTTTGGTGGCTCTCAACTTTTTAAGGACACAGAAAGAAAATGTTTTAATGATTAATTATTTTTAATAATAAAATGGACATAAAATATAACGCCCTCGGAGCAGTGGCGGGCACAGTTTGAATACCTACCTCAGGTTTTTACGGATCATTTGACGTCAAATTCATAACTCATTTGAGTGGGTTTACTTTGGAATTGTGGCTTCTGGAACAATAATAGATTTGGGTGGTAAACCTTTTTCTGGATCGATCGCCAAAATTGTTTGATCAAAATTTAAAAAAATTAATTCACTTGTCAATAATAACAATATGTTCGTATCCATACACATTTGTTTTCGTGTTCATCGACGAGGATGAGATTTATTAAAAGAAAATGTACAAACATAAAATATCCAAAAGTTAAGAACAGTTTTATACTACCTACTTCCGTTTATGCCACTGAACTTTTCCACACCTATACTCAGTGCCACATTTAGACATTTTGCGCCCCGGTCAAAAAAAATTGCTCCTCCCTTAAGGGGCCTATACCCACGGAAAATTTGGTTGATATATCTTCATTAACCTTTTAGATTTTGAGCACAGAAAGAATATTTGTTTTACAATGTGTGCTTTTTTAAAAATATTGTTTAGTAATTGCTTGATCCTGTCTTCGCAAAGATACATTTAAATTTATGTTACTTAAATCTTGCTTATAATTCATCATATAAAATGTTTTTTTTTTTAAATAATTAAGTACCTAGGTACTTCATGAATAAATAAAATAAAATTATATAAAACTATGCAAGTTAATATTAATTAAAACAATTTCAAACAGCATAATACTATATAATAATATAATACTATTATACTAAATTATATTAAATAATTCTGTTATTAAAATATTTAAAATGATATAATGTTAATAATTCACAAGTAAGCAAATTTCTGACCACAAAATGTTGGCACCCCTAAAATACTGGCACCCGGGGCAGTTGTACCCAGCACCCCCCTAAATTCGGCCCTGCACCTACTTTATTATATAGTTGATGTGGTTTTAGTAACTGTTTTCCAATGGAAAATTTTCTTAATATCTCGTGTATATATTATTAATTTTAATGAAATATAATGTCTTCATAAAAATAAACTTTCAGAACTGCATATCGAGACGCAAATATTGAAAGTACTATAAGGTTTAATTACCGATAGCAATATATAACGACGACCACTTATGTACCTATGTACAGTGTACTGCACCTGTTTAAGGTACTATATAGTTTGTTATGACTTTAAGATTATCGAAATATGGCAATCCCATTCGAGAAAAATTTTTTTCGCAAGCTGGAACGGAAATAACGAATTTTTTACTGTGCCCTACCTGAGCAGTGCTGGAAAATCTAAGTCTCTGGAGACCAGTGTGCAATCACTAATGTTGGAGTCATCTTATTAAAAAGAAAAAATGCTATTTATGAATACCTATATAGATATGTACATACCTAATATAGTGCATTGATTATACATTTTTCACGGTGTTGATGGGTTTAAAAAAGAAAACATTTCAACTGGGTTGTGACCACCTCCATAGCAGTCTAAAATAAACGGGTGCTGTCAATTTCTTAAAATGAAATATTGTAAACAAAGTATTTCCTCACAAAGTTAGAAAAGACATCAACCGGTCGAGGCCTCTGAAACAACATCATCCCCGGTGTGTTTCAACCCCAGCGGGCCGCCGACACCGTAAACCTTCAGTGCAATACGCGTAGGTATATTATTATATAATAATATGTATAAAAACATTGTTTACGTCTCGGGTTCCGGCAAATTGCCCGGTGGAATACAGGAAGGAGATTTCGTTTTTACGGCTCACAATTATTTAGAAGCTCGAGGAACGGGGACGATTAGATATGCATTAAAAAAAAAAAAAACGAAACGAAATCAAAAAAAAAAATAAAGCAAATCACGAAAGGTCAGCGGTGAGAGCGCACTAGATGAAAATTCAATTATTAAAAGCCACAACGCGAGGTACCACGGTACCGGTACCTGTATACGGTAACATTATTATTACGGTATCTGCAGCCAAATTATTATTGTTATCGTACGATGAATGGCGATATTATCGAAAGGGAAAATGTCCGACGACGAAAATAATATTATTATAGCAATATTACACTACATAGTATAGCGTCGTTTGACATTTTCCAAGCTTTTTCTCTTATTTATTTTGAACGTTTCAGTCCACACTCCACGGCGGTCGTTGTCTTCGAATTTTGTTTTTAAATTTTAGATAATCTAAAAAAATATGCACCTTCTCCACTTTTCGAGCATATTATTATAAAGTATAATTAATGGGCAAAAAATGTTTAAAATAATATTTCAAGAATACACATACAGTAAAACTCGCTTAAGACGCTTTCCCGCATAAGACACTATTTTCCGTCGGTCCCTATATCATCTATATCCCTATTTCATTCCCGCATAAGACGCTTTCCCACTTAAAACGCTCTAGAGAGCTGGTCCCTTAAAGAGCGTCTTAAATGAGTTTTACTGTATATTGTATTAATATTAACATCAATAATTGTGAGTTTGGATTAACCACATAAATGGTGCCATTGAAGCAATGCTCGGCGTCCACAGTTTTTACATTATTCAAAATCGATCACCTAAAAGTTATTTTTAGTTTAGTTTACTTACCTACAATGCAAGTATAATACCAACTTAGGTACTCACTTTTCCCTATTCGGTCAATTTAGACCTCTATATAACTTTTCAGTTTTCACTGTGCTTCTCCCTCGTTATTTACAACTTTCCTAAAATATGACTTTTACTTGACTTTCTTGTCTTGAATATAATTTACAATTCATGTAGACAATACAGTAAGTAATACCATTGAGTATAGATAGTAGGCATAGAGAGACCATCTTGCCTATATTATGATACATAATGAATAATTAGTTCACCAAAACTGTCAATAGTGTTATATTGAAAATATGGAAATAATAATTATAATTATATAATAAAATTGAATTGTTATTGTGCACTTGTGCAGTTAAAACTTCAATGTCATTTAAGTTTCATCGACATCATACACTTTGCGATACAACGTTGCCTAATTTTGTCATAAATTAACATTGCCATTTACAACCTAAATATACCATCTATAATCTATATACTCAAATGGTACCCAATACATACTGGTACAATTTACCAGGCTGACGGTTTGAGTAAATATAGATGCCAACTGTAACTCTACTTCAACTTAATTATATACCTACTAGCAGACCCGGCGAACTCCGTTTCGCCACCAGATTCGTTTTATGTTTTTTTTCGTTTGGTGATTAAAATATAAAGAAAAAAAATTTTTTTTGTTATATATTTGAAAAGGAAAATATTTATTTCATTTCACAACAGTAATAAATTCATTTCAATTACCTACTAAAATGAAGTGTTATTTAATTGTTTCATTGTAGTGCTCTTTGGTAAACCACATTTTTTGTTTTTTGGTTTGACGTTAACACAAACAAAGCGGATGGTTTCCCAACTCGTGAACACGCAACGTATAACTGTCCATGTGAAAAACAATGATTTTCCAAATTTATCCCGCAAACACTAAGCGATTGGCCTTGCGACTTATTAATTGTCATTGCGAACGCAAGGCGAACTGGGAATTGCAATCGTTTGAAGTCAAACGGAAGATCAGTCGGAATCATTGGTATTCGAGGAATACATACATTTTCACCTGCGTATTTTCCGTTAATAATGGTTGCCTCAATTAAATTCGGCATATTTGTACACATGTTTTGTATACTTGTTTTTGCTGTTCATTCAGCAACGGAACATTATTTCTAACGAATTCCTGCAATGTATCAACATTGTATTGCAGCTCTCGATTTAATTCTTGGTTGAATGCATCGTGCATCGATCGATTTGGCGCAATCATTCCTACTTCAATCAGTAGCTTGTTTTGCAATAGTCAAGCATTGATCCTCAATCAGAATCAATCCTTCATTGTAGATTTCATCGGTTATTTGGATGTCAGGATTATTCGTTTGAATACGCAAGCGATGCAAGATATCTTCACATATGGCGTCTTTGTATTTGTTCCATAACTGAATTGGTTGTGAAGGAAAACATGTGGTGATGATAATTGCGAACAGCGTTCGTATTTGGTACGCATTTGATGAAACAACTGAATCTGCAAGTGTTAAATCCCAATGAGAATCGTTCTCCAGCAAACCCAATAGTTGACATGCTTCTCGATATGTTTGGCATTGGTGGCCATTCACAGTTTTCAAATGCGCAAATGATTTCGGTCCACGTACATTTACTAACAGCAGTCGCAAATAAAAACATTCATCGTTTCTAGGATGAACAGTGTACATACGACCTAGTGCATCAGTTGAAAACACCTGTGGCCAGTCTGGAACTGGGGTTCCTTGTTTGCGACGTTGGAATTTCTTTGTTGATTGATTCCAAGTGTAATACTTGGGCATTTCAACGTACATCAGCGTCGCTGCGAATGGATCTGATTCACACATTGCAAAGAAGCTAGTCAATGTTGTCGATGGTGCTCTCTCAGCTCGTTGTGCCGCATTAGCCTCAGTGAAGTAAACTCTTTGGCCATTTTCCAAATGCACTGCTAAATGTACAACTGTGGGATATCTTTCATGAATTTGAAATGACAATAATCGCCACAGTGCTTCATTAGTACTGACGTATCTGCCCATTTGGAAGTTGCTGATTTCGTCATTCACATTTTCCGACGCAATACCAAACACGGCCATGTCGCTGCTTAGGTTAGGTTAGCAAACGATTGCAATTCCCAGTTCGCCTTGCGTTCGCAATGACAATTAATAAGTCGCAAGGCCAATCGCTTAGTGTTTGCGGGATAAATTTGGAAAATCATTGTTTTTCACATGGACAGTTATACGTTGCGTGTTCACGAGTTGGGAAACCATCCGCTTTGTTTGTGTTAACGTCAAACCAAAAAACAAAAAATGTGGTTTACCAAAGAGCACTACAATGAAACAATTAAATAACACTTCATTTTAGTAGGTAATTGAAATGAATTTATTACTGTTGTGAAATGAAATAAATATTTTCCTTTTCAAATATGGATGGATCCAGTTTGACTTTTCCACTTGCGCAGCACAATCCAACCGTTTCTCTTTTGAACTTTAACGCATTGCAATATCGGCATATAGTCGTCATTCGTCCAATATCAAAATTTTCATCATCACTGTAGTTCGCAGTGGGATCATATTGGAATGCCAAGCGATTGTATGATGCCAATGATCTTCGTGTGCTCACGCGATGTCTCAATCGGTCATTTTCTCTTATTATATTTTGTCTTTCTTCTCTTAAGTTCCTTGAATATACTTGTTGCTGGCTTGCATGTCTTGTGCGGCGGCCGATGTTCGCACGTCGTTCTCTAGGCATTTTGGACTATGGACAGAGTGTTGAATTTAACTTCAAATGCACGATCCACATAATTTACATAATTTATTTTAGCTTAAATGAAATTAACTGAGCAGAGAATAATGTAAACAACTATCCGTCAACTATATAATAAACAACTATCCGTCAAACACTTTATCACGCACCGTTGCTATTGGTTTGAAGTACATGCTATGTATAATAGATGGCGCTGTATGTGAAAAACGATTTCCCCACTTTTCTGTTGAATTTTTCCTGAATTTTCCAGAATTTTCTTTGCTATAAACCTCACGGAGCCCAAGACCTTTCCAACGAATGCAAAACCGTGGAAATCGGTTCGTGCGTTCTCGAGTTATAGCGTCAGGGAGGAAAACCGGACTTATTTTTATATAATAGATATAGTCAGTCTTGTAAAGAAACTTTTATTTCGTATTTGGAATACATAATCGAATAAATGAGAATTAAGGTATTCAGAATACGTATTCGAATAGTTCTTAAAAAATATATTCAGAATACATATTCGAATACTTTAAAAAAGTATTCGAATACTATTAGAATACATTTTTCACAACTAGTTTTTGTCAGTTTTTGAATGGTTAGTAATTAACATTTATTAACCAATAATTAAGAATACATCCTAATTATAAGTTATTTATACATTTTGACCACATATGATACGGCCGATACGGCCCATACGGGACACAACACATTGGTGTTTATAAAAATAATCATATCATGGGCCAATATTATATTTCATTCAAAGAATAAAATTAATGTTCATGATTTATAATATGTCTTGTCACAAATTTAAAACTATTTTTCTGGATCGGAAAAAAGTATTGTTTTAATTAGTAAAAAATACAAATAAAAGTATTCAGAATACGTAGGTATTTGAATACTTAAAAAAAAAATATTTAAAATAGTATTCGAATACAAAAAAAGTATTATACTTTTATTCGAATACTTTACAAGACTGTATATAGTCTATACCTATGCAGGAGAGGAGCCGATGGTTTGCTTTACTAAATATTTAACTACCTATCTATATGTTTGTTTGCATAAGGTGGAGCGCGAATTTTGTCCGATTAAAAACTACGGTTTTTATTTAATTATAATCTTATATTCTATCCAGAAATGTAAAGCTTTGCAGGCGCTATGACCGGCCGACGTGACGTCTCGCATCTGGACCACCGATTTTTAAACAAATAATAATAATATTATGGAAGAAAACCGTTCATTATGAAATAAATATAAGCTATATTATGACATTATATTCGCGTGGGACGCGAGTAATGGACTTTCGATTTGGCTATTAATCATACTTGTTAAACACAAGACGCAGCTTGCGAAGAACGATTACGATAATAAACAGTTTGTATTATATTTCAGTATTCACATTTATTAATTCAATTCGGTATTATTTTTATCGTAGGCTTGAATAATAGCCGAATTTTCGTAAGGGTTGTCCCTATCGTGTTGGAAATGATCCTCTGCGGAGGTCATGTCCTCTGCACCTACATAGTATTCAACGAAGTCTAAATAAAATGTTAATAATATATCTTGGTTGTATGTTATAATATATTTCAGACCAAACTACACTACTCACCACATTGTATATGTAGCAAACAAAATTTCGAATTCATTAGCGTAGTCCACGACTCATACGGTGTGTGGTACCTATATTACTTATGAGTTATGAATTATGATATATGTTTAAACAGAATAAACTACAGTATCAAAAAAGTACAATTATAAAGGTAAGTTCTATATTTTAATTTCTAAATTCCAGACTAAAATTATAAATAAAATAGGTACCTACCTACCTATAATACTTGTATGAGGACTATGAATATTTGTATTAAGTCCCCAAACCTTACCAACTCCTCATGACGATGACATTCACATATTTTCATCAATTATTGTGTTGAAGTAGCTGACAAATGTAATTTATTTTATTTTTATCAATATTTAGTGTTTATATTTAATAATTAACAAAAATCCTATGATATAAAAATTAAAGTTTAGTTTGTTTGTTATATTATCTGTCTGTGCTTTCTGTTACACTCTGTAGAAAGTTGAATAATAATGTTTTAAATCGCAAACAGAACCGCTGCAGTCTTATCTACTGCTGCACACTATATAAGAGTCATCTAGATTGACACATGTCGATATTATGTTACTTTGTTACAATAACGCGACGTTATAATTTAAATATAATATAACAATGTACTTCAAAAATGTGTTGTACGTATATACGACATGATGACGTAAAATTATAGTTTAAATACAATCATTTTATCATTAAATCAATCAAATGTTTATCATATCCAATAAACTATAATAATGTCTATAGGTCGTTGTTTAAAATGAAATATTTCCATATATTAATTTATATATATTTGATATTTGAAAATATATTATGTTTATATTAAATATATTGTAAGACGAGAATAACGGTATATTTGTCGCGATTAAATAGTAGCCCTTCGTACAGGATTTAGCTTAATTTACGATACGTCGTTTCTAATACACTAATTTACTGTACATAAAGTTCCAAGTTCCAATAAAAGTATAAGAAAATCATATTTAATCACACAATTCTTTACATAATATTACATTACTTAAATGTAACAAAAAATATGTATTTATTTATATTGATAGGGTAGTGATTGTATTATTTAATTTCACAATTTTTTATATGGTATGTATTACATTACACAATATAAAGAAGTAAAAAATATATTTATTCATTTAAACTGATATTATAATTCTATGGTAAAAGTGTATTGTAATTATTAATTTTAACTGTATTAACCATTTAATACATTAATTGTATTTCAAAATAATTAACTCGTCGGCTACCATACAAACATTTTCGGCGGGAACCATAGCGATTATCAAGACTCCTGGATTTTTTTATGATATGATAGGTAAGTAATAAAAAACTCTACAAACAGATGCATATCATTTACTGTGTATTTACATGACAGGTGTTTTTTGAGTTATCATAATTTATTAGAATTTACACTTTTAGAGTTTAACTCTGGGTAATTAAGTGCCATCGAACTGCACCGTATCTTGTGGTAATGATAAAACTATGCTCAATGAGTTGGTAAAAAAAATATCAGAAATCCGATGCCCACAACGACCGCATGTGAAGTGTGAATTAATATAATATTATTGCCTATTATTTAATATCGAGTAGATAAACTATTTTTATAATAAGTTAAGGTTAATATTATATTTTTCCGTATTAATTTCAAACTTAATTTGTTAAATTAATCGTTTCTTTTAACTATCAATTAATTCTTACTTGACGATTAACTCTACTAACTTGAGTATAATATTATGTACAATGTATTTCATGTCTATACATAGGTAATTCCGTCAATTCGTATATTTCATCTTGATATAATTATTTTTTTTTTTTTTGTAATTGAGGGAGGGATTATGATAGAAAGAACGTGTGAGCAGTTGCAATTTGCAAGTCACATCAATTTTAGGCAATAAGAGAAACGATAATAATATAACAAAGTTTTAAGTGCTCAGTTTTTGAATTTTTTTTTTTATTAAAAACTACAATAGTAAAAATATTACATTTTGGTGATGGTTTTTATTTTTTTCAAACAATGGTCATCGGTCTTGCTTTCTCTCCCTGGGGCGGATCGTGATGGGGTAGCCATCGGCTTTTTTCGCCAGCAAATCGATCTGCATTTCGATCTCCGACAATTTACAGTCCGTATGCACGATGTAACGGCGCAAAACCGCCACCATCATTAACTTCATGGAGATCATTGCGTACTTGACACCTGTGGGGAAAGCGATCGGTAGTTGAAATACTCGTATTATCTACGTAACATAATGATATAATGTCATTAGGGTCTTGTCGTAAGATAAATAACGATTTTCTTTCAAAATTAAATTTCAGCTCTATTATGTTTACCTACCTATTACAACACGGCCACAGTTATTCACTTTGTCTTATTTTTTACCCCCCCCCCCCTTCCCTAACACACTCAATATCAGCTGCCTTTACATTTTAATCTGGACCATCTGTGACATAACGATATATTTTTAATTCGTTCATCATTACTACATCTATTGTTATGATTACCAAATTAATTAATATGAATAACCTCGAATTTTACAACGAAGCCAAATTTTGTGTTAGATCTTATAGATCTACGCATTTAGCTTAAACCCAATTTATATTTTAATATTCGAACCAAGGGCTGAAACTGTATCTAAAAGAACCAGAACTGAAACCTTTATTTTAATAAATAAAGTACTGGAACCTAACTGGAATTTTTAAATTAACTAGTTTCTTTTAGTTTCAAAAATAAAATTA